TATTTCAATTTGCAATAGCCAATAGTAAACTAGCATTGTACCCGCCCTCTGCTGATGGACCTGATGGAGAACTGCAGCAGAGGGCGGGTACAATGCTAGTTTACTATTGGCTATTGCAAATTGAAATAGCCAATAGTAATGTAGCAATGCATTTCAATGGGAATTTTTTTTTTTTTTTCTATTCTGACATCGCTCCGTGTCAGAATAAAGAAAAAAAAAGACACATCAGTGTTTCTCTCCTTGGCGGCTGGGAGCAGGAGAATCCCGGGCCGCCAGGGAGAGTTAGCTGTTTGGAGATCAGTGTCCCTGGTTAGCAGGTAACCAGGGACGCTGATCTCTCTGCAAGTGGCCGGAGCCAGCCGTAAGATCACGGCTGGCTCCGCCCAGCTGTCACAAGCAGGCTGTCAGAAGCTGGCTTATCTGCAGGCTCCAGGGACAGGGTAGTCCTGAGGGTTCCTAATCCTATGCAGCTCTGTGTAGAGACAAAAAATAAATTCAGGAGTAGCAGAGAGGGTGATTTTTTCAGAGCTGTAGTAGAGAACACAGCCAACTTGCTCTACATAAGACTGGTACACATGCAATTTAATTTGCTGTCTGATGAAAGTGCTACAAATATACCCAAGCATCATAGACACCTATTATTATTAGGTCATATATTTAGTAACACTTTAGCATGAGAACAAACAGTGCAAGCACTCCCTTTACACCTACTCCTCCCAGTAAATCTGGTAGCAAAGTAAAAATGTTGATGATTCCTTTCCTGTGGTGAATATATTTTGAATACGGTATATACAGTATATAGTCATCCACATGAAAGGTATGGATAACACGGTACAATACTTTACTGCAATAAAAATATAAAAATAAAATTGACATGTTTGTTAACTACTTGCTGTCCACCCGTTGTAAATAAACAGACGGCCGGCAAGCTCCCTACAGTGGGGTGCCGTAAATATGCAGCTTTTTTTTCTGCTTGTGCGCGCTCCATAGCGTAATCGTGAGCAGAACACACTGACAGTTTTAAACAGCCCGTAATGGCTGTTACATACAAGCGTTCGGACGGCTCTGTAGCTGTCCGATCACTTGTATGGTGGCCAACAGTGTGCACCCCCTCTTTCAGCGCGGCCCATCCACCGCCGTTACTGGCTATTCCGGGCTCCGCTGTCCCCTCTGCAGGATTGGGACTATAACTTCAATACAAATGAGTAAACTAAACATGAGATTGTAGTCCATCACGGGAGCGAGCTTGGAGCAGTGGCTACTTTACAACACACACAGGGACCATGGAGAACAAAAGCAACCACCCTCCAGAAGGAAGGACAGTGTCAGCACCAATTCAGAGATGATTTGAGGATCTACAGCCGAGGTAAGATAAAATACATTTTTGTTAATAGTTAAGGTACCTGAATGCATTTTTATAAATTTAACTCCTGAGTTTAGTGTCACTTTAAGAAGACTTGATCCTACTCCAGTGACTCTCCTGATTTTTACAATGCAATACTGTAGCGTACATTCACCCTGCCTAAGCAGAATACGGCTTGGGAACAAAGGTCGATAGTTCAGACTGGTCTGCCATAATATCCTGTACTGCATAATATTCATAGGGTCAATTTTGGATTATAAAGATTACAGTATTATCTACATTGATGGACACACATTGATCACAGGACTAGAATGCTCCTGAGTGATGAAAGCTTGCTTTACCAGTTGCAGCAATCTTCTCTCTTACATTTCTGTAATTAGAGTACCTCATTGTTCATAAAGGCAGCATTCATCGGAGCCATGAAGATGGCATTTAGTAGTCTTGTGTTGCTGAGTGACCCCCAAAAAAAGATATGACACCCAAAAATTTAAAAGAAAAATATATAAAATGACAACAGCACACAAATTGGTTGTAAGGGCAGGATTCAATTATTCCCCAATCAGCAGGAGTGAAAGTAGGAGGAAAGCCTGCCACTGGGTATGACTCATGGGTGTCTAGTGGATGTTTATATAATATGGGGGGGGCGAAAAAAAATTTCTGCCCCGGGCGCCCATAACTCTGGTTACGCCACTGGCTCTGTATGAAATAAATTATGTCCTTCTGGCCAACCACCCCCTGTTATCTAACTTTACAGATTACTCAGGCCTAAAATGTGGAATATAACATGGGTGCAAAAATGGAAAAAAGGGCCTCAGTCATGAAGGGGTTAATGTGTTCAAGGTACACCTTCATTTAATGTATATAAAAATAACATTCATTCTATCATAGACATTGATTTATATGTTCTTAACAGCAGAAGATTTCAGTGATATGTTTTCTTAAATAAGCATTTACCCATAAAATTCCCGGCTGTACCTGGTTTTACAATGTTAGAAATGTTCATTTTAGAATGGCTTTTGACACAAGGACAGGTCTGCGTTTGTAAGTGAAGTTCCTTTAGTAATTCTGTCAGTAGGACACTAATAGAAAATAAAAGCTGTACATGGTCATTAATATTTTTTCCCCTCAGGAGGTGCTGATGTTTGAGATGAAATATATGTGTCACATTGATAAATGTACAAAACACAATAAGTCCCCAGCACACCTAGCCTGCAACAAAACAAATTCCTCTGTCTAACAGTATGCGTTAAACCTTTGGCCAAAAATAGGTAGAAGCCACACCGCCCCGTCAAGGCACCTCGGTTTTTCTAGTTTGACTATTTTGGATGTGCTAAGCTGGTTATGACCACACTTTACAGAGGTGCCTTGACGCGGTGGTGTGGCTTTGACATATTTTTGGCCAAAGGTTTGTGCAACTAAAACCTCTGCTTTTAACGCATACTGTTAGACAGGATAATTTGTTTTGTTGCAGGCCAGCTGGCAGGCTTGCTGGGGACTTTTTGTGTTTTGTAATGTTGTAAGCCTTCCCATGAGCACCCTGCTACAAAGGCTGGTTATAAATGTATGCGGTTACCATCTTTTTCTAGTTTGACTATATTGGATGTGGGGGCGCACTGGGGGTCCCAGCGTGCATTTTTGGTTGCTGGGCCTCCAGTGCGTCCCTGCACCTTGTGAGGAGGAGTGGGCTACCTCCTGGTACACCTGCATTTAATTTATCGACTACATCAATATGCTCCTACTTGGAGACTCATATAAATAGAGTTAGGACCACATTTTACAGAGGTGTCTTGAAGGGGCGGTGTGGCTTCTACATATTTTTGGCCAAAGGTTTGTGTAACTAAAATCTCAGCTTTTAACGCATACTGTTAGACAGGACAATTGTTTTTTTTTTTGCAGGCTAGCTGGCAGGCGTGCTGGGGACTTTTTGTGTTTTGTATTGTTGTCAGCCTTTCCATGTGCACCCTGCTACAAAGGCTGGTTATAAATTTATGCGGTTACCATCTTTTTCTACATTGATAAATGTACCTCTTTATTTAGTCAGTCTGTGCTAAGGAAACATTATGATTCAGAATGGATATAATGTTAAAAAATCATTACAGCAGAAATATACTTTAAACATGGTCATAATGTATCTCTAGTGTCCAATATAGTGTCGACAGCTAATCAATGCAGATTTCTGCTATGAGTCAAAGATTTAAATAAATGGTGTTAAAATGTAAAAAAATAATTATAGTAGAAAAAAGATAACAATAAACATTTTGGATAATGATTGCTTACTATTAGGCATTAGAAGTCAATAACAAATATGACATTGTCAAAATCAATGAAAAAGTCTGTGAAAATTGGTAGTAATTATAAAACTGCAAATTATTTCACATTCAAAATAATTTTATATACCATGGGTATATTTATGTGTTTTCACAGAAGATTCACACAACTTATACCCAGAATTTACAAATTTTTCCCAAATTAATTCAATTAGAAAATGTGTGGCTCCTGGGTGAAAGTCATGTAAATCATAAACAGAACGCTGAACATCTTTCTCAGATTTTTTAAAGATAAACAAAACCTCACCTGTCACATGGAGGGGGTAGGTTTCCATTGACACCATTCTCCTGCAAAACGCAGAATATGACAAAGAATGTCACCCACCAACCTGAACAATTCATTGTATGTTGCAGCAGGCAAAACAAGAACGAAGTGACCGCTCAAAGTTCCACAAGAAAACAGTGCTCAGACAAGGGTTAATGAGTTATTAATAGTCTGTTCCTTGGCATTCCTCCATCTGTTTTCTTCTCACTACACCCATGTATCTTGTCCTATTATCTGTTTACATACATGGACTGTTGGAATTGAGTTGTAGTTAGAAGCTTAGTTAACAGCACGTGTGCTCCTTGAAGACTCTAGAAGTATGCATATGTGGTAGGGACCTTAGATTGTAAGCTCCTTGAGGGCAGAGACTGATGTGAAAGTGCATTGTGTAAAGCTCTGCATAAAAATTGTTTGCTCTATATAAATACCAACAATAAATAATACAATAAATAAGTTGCCATGATAAATCAGAATGTATTATATCATTTGTATATGTATAGGTAATATGTGAGGATCATAAAGTAACAAAAGGGCTCTTGGAGCAGTGATGGGTAAATGTATGTCTGGGGGTCGTTGGTCCATGGCACAATCCAGGCCTTCTGCTGGCATTTACTGCCCGTCCCTGTTTAATATTGCAGCTTGGGGGGATAGGGGTGAGCTATCATCTTGTGTCTGCACAAATCTAACTCACAAACTGGAACCTCAAAATACCTGAACAATGCCTGCATCCAATCGGATTGTTCAGGTATTTTGATAGCCAGTGGGGCCGACCAGCAAGATACAGAAGCTTGGCCCAGTGGATATTGGATTACTGGATATTGAGTTCTTAGAGGTATATTAAGCATCAGAGATTGTTAATCCAGGGAATATCCGATTGTCTTATGGGATCAGGAAGGAATTTTTTCCCCTGTTGGAGCAAATTGAACCATGCATTATATGGGTTTATTTTGCCTTCCTCTGGATCAACAGTGGGTAATTGTGGGCATAGTGTTCTGTTTAGGCTTTTCTTCTTTCTTTTTCTCTATAGGTTGGACTCGATGGACTTGTGTCTTTTTTCAACCTGACTAACTATGTAACTAAGTACCAATTCAGAGATGATTTGAGAATCTAGAGCCGAGACATACACAAATAAGATTCATTTTTGTTAATAGTGAAGGTACTTAAATGTATTTTTAAGATTTAACTCCTCAATTTAGTGTCACTTTAAGGACAATTAACAACAAAATCTTGGTTCTTTGCCAAGAGAGAGAGAGAGAGGCTTTATTTAGACTTTCTATGTCCAGTGTTAGCAAGACTTCGCGTGCACACATAGTCAGATCTTGTAGACAGTATCATGAAAACACCCTCATTTCAATCTTAACACCTCCAGGTATATACACACACACACACACACACTCCCAATATCCCAGGTATAAGATTATTCTTTAATTAATGAACACAATTCATTTTATAGCAGTTGTTCTCCTTGGTATTGTCTGATTAGGTGGTTATATTTTGGTATTATTTCACTAATAACATATTCTCAGTTTCTTTTGAGAAACACATGACCTAACGTGCTAGATGGTCATTGAGATCAACATGAATCAAAGGCTAATGGTTTTTTCTAGCCCACTATAGCTGGTAGTAGTTAGTGACATTCAGCTGAACTTCATCAGTGTTGAAGATGTTTTCCCACTCATGCAAGTGGCTTCCTTAGTTCAAAGGAACATACCCCAGAATCTATACCCACAGGTCTGGCTGCAGAATTGTGATCATAAGGAAAGTACATAGATTGCGTAAGACTCTCGACAGCTGAATGGAATTCAGAACAGATATCTTTGTTGTTGGCCCTTTGTCTCTAAACCACCTGTTTCCAGTAATATGACTTCAGAGTATAATTCTATGAAATAAAGGATTTGATCACTAGCAGAAGACATATAGTTGTTGGGCATTATTCACAGTTTGTAGTTCTTCTAAGTCTACAGAAGCATGTTTCTCATTGCACAGTTACAAACTCACTTGTCATTCCAGTCATAGCTTTGGTTCTGCTACATGAATCATCTCCTAATATCTTACTAAATACAGTCTTTGTTGTCGCAGCTCCTGACACTCCCAAGCTGCATAGCCAGGATTAATCTAGTAAAGATCAAGGAGTTAACTTTAAAGGTGAATTATTCATTATATACACACCTTCATCACATCCCCAACAATACCTGCGTTCCGGTCCAGTGCGATCAGAAAAAATAGTGCAAGGTCCTCTTTAAGGTGATACTGAGGGTCCAAAAGACCCCCAGTATCACCTTTACACTCTAAATAAGCTATTGAAGTGCAGATCGCATATAGCTTATTAGCTTATTGCCTGGCAATAAGCTAATATAAGCCGAGCAATGACAGCTATGGGACTGGAAGTGATGCAATCCGCGTCGCTCCCGAGCCCATAGAATGGGGAGGAGAGCGGTGAACCTAGCTTCCCACCGACATCCGAGAAGCCGGGCCCGTAGGAGGGACAGCGCAGCCCGGGAAACACGGCATGGATGTCGTTTACCGGATCGTAGAAGCGATCTGGCGGCAGCTGAGCCACCAGAATCGCTTCTACTGATTATCCCGTCATGGGTCTTGAAGGGGTTAATACTATTTAAGTTAAACAGTTTTATTTTTCTGTTTTCGCCCACGCCGCTGCCAAACTAGCTGATGCGGCTGTGTTAAAGCGGCGACTTTAGAGGGCGATGCTGGCTGTGATTGACAGCTGAGACCCTTTGCATCTGCTCCCAGTGAGACCCTTCATATATGCCCCTGCTGAGACCCTCCTCATCTGCCCTGCTGAGAGAACCTTCGCATCTGCCCCTTGTGAGAACATCTGTATTTGCCACTGGTGAGATTCTCCACATCTGTCCCTGGTGGGACCTTCCAAATTTGTTGCACCCACCCACTGGACCTGCTGAAGGTGAGCACTCCCCGGTGTGATGGCATGGAAGCAACTTCCCATTAACACGTGTGTGCGGGTGACGTCCCACGGGCATCAGATTGTGTGTGATGGCTGATCCTGGAGATGTTGTACTGTATATGCGTCATTCTAACTGCCCAGTCTGCTGCGTATTGTTTCTGTTCTGAGGTCTGCCGTGTATGGGTTCTGATCTGAGGTCTGCCGTGTATGGGTTCTGGTCTGAGGTCTGCCGTGTATTGGTTCTGGTCTGAGGTCTGCCGTGTATTGGTTCTGATCTGAGTTCTGCCATGTATTGGTTCTGTTCTGAGGTCTGCCGCGTATTGGTGCTGGCCTGAGGTCTGATGTGCAGTGGTGCTGGTCTGAGGTCTGATGTGCATTCTGTCATTTAGCTCACTTTCCACTTTGCCTATATTGGTCTAGATTTTGAAATTCTCCTACCAATTCTCAGGAAATTCATATTTTAGTGAATTGGCCCACTATTTTAAAAATAGTGTGGAGAAATAATTTCCGCATCACAAAAATGTTTATGCAGGTGGGGCTTGTATATGGGAGGAGCACAAGGGGGGCCCATAGTCTTGTATTGCCTGGGGCCCAATGTGTTGTCAGTCCACCCCTGCCTTGGATGTACCAGGTACTTCCTAAAAAGACTTTAGTATAGTACCTTGGGCATATCCGTTATGCCCTGGTCCTCCCCTACCGCTTTTTGAAATTGCCAGTACCGGTCTGTGTTACAGAGGCACTCTAGTGCTCCTGTGATAAAATAAAGCCTGAGAACTTTTTAGCAGGCTTTGTTTATAAACATAATGTAAGAATATAATTATTATAGTTTATTTTCACTAGTTCTTTTATGTGCACATCAAAGAAGTTTCCTTGGAGCTGCACAAAGTGTTGGTTATAGCATCCTCACAATTGTACCTATTTAACCCCATTCGCCTTTATTGCATTAAAAATACAATTATTTTTGCAAAACAATATTGCCAAAAGAAAGTCTTTATGGTCCTGAAAACATTACTCTCAAATGTCATGATTCCTGGCTTTTTCTTTTTGTTCGGAAAGAAACATTACTGACTTTTGTTGAAAAGTTTTTTTTAGAGGAAACCTTTGCTGAAGAAATATGAAGGCAGAAATTGCTGATCTGTCCTTCTGAATATGCTTGTTGATTGGCAGTCATATGGAATCATTGAATTCAGTATTTTATGATTGACTGACCTAAAAACAAATATGCCAAATATAGGATCTCTGACATTACCCTGACTTTTTTTTATCTGCATGCCTGTTTGGTTTAGTGACTTTCACACAAAATGTATATTTTACTTATATGTGGAGCCTAATGGGTTGGGTCAGGATATGGCTTCTTATTTGTCTCGGATACTCCCACAATGAGATCTTTCTGCCAAACATTCTAACTTTGTTCCCATAAAAAATGACGTTTTAGATATTCCTGCCCAGCTTTGTGTGTTCCAGCTCCTCCTGTTGCATTCCCTAACAAGGAGAGCGGGACTATTTCATAATGACCACAGCAGATGTGAAGACCCAAGAACTCAAGTGCAGAGACCTCCCCAAAATCCCAGAGAGATATAGGAAACTCTCAAATGGCTTTTACATGGCCAGCGTTAGCAAGACAAGCCAAGCAGCTAGCATTGTCAGAATGTGGTCAGCAATGTCAGCCTCTGCGTGTCTCTCTCTGTAGGTTTCCTTTAACTATCTAACTGAGTAGTTATCAAAACCAAAGCAAAACCGCAGTGCACAACCCACAACCAGCATGTGAAGAATGCTAATGTGGAAAACAAACTACAGAAAAAAATACTTTTATATTTTATTTTATCAGATGTGTTCAAAGGTTAGGTTTACCAGGGAATCAAAGCTCATGCTGCTAACTCCGTGCTATTAAAATGCTTTCAAGTGCAAATTGATGAACTTTATAACTGAAGAATAACTAAAAATTGCTGATTAAAAAATGCTTGCACAGCACATCTTATAGAAAATGATTTGGACCATGTGACATGAAAAGTCTGAACTGGACATTATACCTCCCAGCTTTCTGAGATGAGAAAGAGGGACACCTCCTAGCACAACGTATTTAGGCAATGGTCACACCCCCAGTTATGAGGACCTTTGGGAACTTATATGCCAAAAATGATTGGTTAAACACAGAATTATTTTTTTTCTCCATTACTTTTCCTTTATGCTGCCTTTC